GCCCGCTCCCGGACCTGGCGGCTCAGGCTGTGCGGTGCAGGCGGCTAACGGCCCGGCTGCCGCGCTCACTCGCTCGCTGGTGGCCGCTGCGGCTGCCGCCGCCTCCTCCGTGTCGTCGTCGGCCGCGCTGGGGACTCTACACCAAGGCACTGCCCTGTCCAGTGTGGAGAACTTTACTGCTAGGATTTCCAATTGTTAATAACGCAGAGTTAGCGCGCTTGAGCAAGAAGGTAGGAGTCGCTCCTTTTTCCCGGCGGGGTGGTGGGTCTGGTTCGCCCTCCGGGCCCCTTCTGGCCTCCTGAGCCCAATTTCTCGGCTTTGAATTCTCGGAACAGACTGTTGGGGCGACAGCTCTGGCTCGCTTTGTGGCTCCGCGGGTCCCTCTATTTATGCAAAAATCGCCCTATGCTGCAACCCTGACCCGGCGTGGGGAGGAAGAGGGTGCAGGGAGGATTAGCCCTGGCTTGAGAGTAGGGGTTTCCTCGACTTTTGGCAAATTGAAACAAACAAACAAACCAACAAACCAAACTAAGCCTTTTTGAGGTGTAGAGATTCTCAGGTCCAGGTCCAGGAGTTAAAAAAAATTCAAGTAATGTTCAAATGAAGACTAATACAAGAACAGTAAGGGTCTCCGAGAATGCCTTTATTAACGGACACTTGTCTGGTGTACTTTTTTCATGAAGAGAAAAAAAAGATTAACATGTTTACACAAGAAACAAGTCAAATTTTATCATTTCTTATTTTAACCTGTGTTTTGTATCATAATAGACACGCGGGATTTTTATTTTGTACTTACTGCGTATTCTATACAAGGAGTATTGTAAATTTTACCAGCAACTATAATTGTACTATTCTAATGTAAGATTTTTACACTTTTTCAGAAATAAAATGCTTAATTTTCAAAGAAAAGCCACCAAAGTAACTGGCTGCAGTCGTCCCTTTCTTAGTTTCCTTTCTGTTAAGAAAAATATTTCTATATGGGCGAGAAATATACTCTATAATTTAGAGTCTCTGTATAGACTCTAAATTATTTTTTAAGAGAGTTTAACAAAAGCACCATGCCATAAATATTCATTTAAACTTTCCAAGTCAAAACCATTGCAGGTCAGATCTTGTTTTAACTCGACTACAAATGAAAGAATATGCTTTGCCTTGCATTTCTAATTCTAACCCTATTCCACCCTAAAAGATCTCTGAGACGTTTTAAATTTGAAACTGCAATAACCCTAAGATAAATGTAATAGAAATTTTAAATTTTATTTCTGAGGTTCTCAATTTCTGCTCACTTTTCATAATCTGTAATGTACAAAAATGCTGTGACATAATGTCATATTGCAGTGGGAGCCATGTGAGCAGAGTTAGGTTTTAGTTTACAATTTTAACAGCAAAAAGTGGTGATCCATTACTGTTAAAAGTGTTAAAGCTCCGAATAAGCAAATATTTGCATATGTAAAGTAATTGTATATGAAAGTAATAGTATTTAAGATAAAAGTGATTCCAGTAATTTCATAAATGAGTTCTGAACTTAAAAGGCAAATTTACTGAAATTTTAGCTTAAATGAACCTAAGAGTAATTCACCTTTAAGACAGTCTATGGTCGAAAGAATTTAAAATGAAGTGTCTTGGGTTTTTTTTTTTTTT